TCGTTTGACGTTAACCGCACAAAAATGTTTTCCTTGTCGCGTGACTTTAAAAAAACTGTGTCATGACTTATACAGCGGACCTTATGACCTTTTGTTGATTTATAAATTTTTAATTACCGTCACACGAAACACGGTGCTAAAAACATTGATTTTGTTACACTTACCCTGAAATTTGACATTGTACTTGATGATTCTATTGAGCGAGGCGATAATCTTGTCCTGGCGAAAGAACAGAACGCCCAGCGGAGCTACGATGCACACCGAGGCGAACACAAACGCCCAACAGATCGGGACCTGTTCCCACAGTGAATTATCAAACTTGGCTCTTTGTTCGAGTTGAAGTGCTCGAAAAACCACGAAGAAAAGTTCGACAACCATGAAACCAAATGCGAATTGATGTCTTTTTCGTCGTGACGGATTGTACATAAATTTATTCTTGTTTATATCGAATGAAAAACTGATCACGCCAAAGAAAGAGCAAAGTGTGGTTGTGATTTGCAATAATTTTTTAAATTGTGTCGAGTACATTTTGTGAGGAGAGAATTTTAGTTAAAAATTTGCGACAGATTTTTTTTATATGTAACTTTTGTTAGAGACAGGATTCCACCCAGAATAAAGTGAGGGCTGGGTTTAATAGCGATGGATTTTTCGTGTAATAAATAAACCTGTCTCGAGTCGACGGTGTATTCATATTACATGGATTTAGATAAACGTCCATAAAAGTATAATGCGTTTAAAATTCGAAATGGTTGACTAATTGCCAAAATACACCCTTACAAACCATAATTTGCTAGGGCAGTAAAGTTTAACGATGCACAGTAAAAACCAAAATTATCAGACCATATTTTGGTCCGGCGAAAGCATTTAAATCTTTATTCTTAATTTTTGAATATAGGTGAGGCATAAAATATTAGTGCTTAGACCAATTGAGGTATAATTTTGAAAAGTATAGTCAAAGGAACATTTTGACCTTCGACCCCGTCACAATTTTTTTTGCCCCCAGTGATTTTTAGAAAAGTGCAATTTTGGAATTTAGTCTCATAAGTGTAAATTTGTAACTTTTCAAAATGAGAATTTCAGAAAATGACTTGATATTTAAAAATATTCTAAGTGTTGCTATAAAATTTTAAGTAACTGGTTTTTAGGGTCGGATGATCCGACTTGGATCACAAATGTTTTTGGCTTGACCGATGCAAAAACTTAGAATAAAGATTTTAAGCCCTTCGAGCCACGCTAGATCAAAATTAGGTCGGTTAATTTTGGTTCTAACTAGGGTTTTACATTGTCAGTGTCAACGGAATAAATGTCATGTCATGTCATAAATGTCATGACATGTCAATTTGTCAATTTTTTGTCATAAATGTCACAGCTTGAAAATGTATGACATTTACGACAAATATGACGGACATTTATGACATTTGTCATAATTGTCAATCTCAATATGCCCCGTGACCAGGTAATCTTGTTAGCAGCTATTAAAACTCTTCATTCCCTCATTGCAATTCAACGAGTCAACAAATGTTCTTGTTAAATCGCCATCCACTCGTATTTATATATATCTAAGGATAAGTATAACGTCAAATTTAATCACGACCGTTCACAATTTCATTGAAGAAGTTTTAGGAATTTCCTCTTTTCAGCCTGCTTCAATTTTACTTATAGTTCTCTTAGTTTGATTGTCAAGTAAGATTCAGCCTCCCGGTCTACAATTGTAAATATTTAAACGTTGTAGCATTGGTAACAGTCATCTCAATTAGTTGCAGTTAACTCTACCTAGTTGGTCGTAAGTAGAAACTTTTAGAAAATATTCACCGAGCTGGCTGCAACTTCCTGTATATCCTGCTGGATGAATTATGTATCGAGTGAATTAATATATGAACTTACTAAACTCTGTAGACAACCAGTAGTCCAAGCTTCATATTGCTCTCATGTTTAACGAAAAACATTTTATGTTATAAGAAAAGACAGACTTCAGGTCAATATCATTGGAAGCAACATGCAAGGAATCGGCCAACTCTTCCAAATCAATGCTCCAAATAAAACTGATGATCAGAGACAAACGGAACAAGTTATAATTTCACGAACGGAAGTCGTCAATATAATATTTTAAGTGTCGTTCGTAGTGAAAAAGTATGAGAGGAAAGATGTGTAGCTGAGAAACAAAATATACCGCCTACGGTTACGATGACTTTTTGTTTGGGAAAAATGATATAAACAGTGAAAATGTCATAATTGTCAATGACAAGTTGACAGAAAAGTTGACAATTTCGAATTTTACAAATTTTCATAAATGTCATAATTGTCAATAAAAATAAATGTCTGACATTTATGACATTTATGACATTTATGACATGTCAAAATGTCATGACAAGTTGACAATGTAAAACCCTAGTTCTAACTATATGATTTTAGTATGTACCCTCATAAAAGTATGCACATAACTTCTGGGCAACGCCTGTATTTATATATATATATATGTATTTAACTATTAGTCGGATAAGTGGATCATTTAGCTAGATGCATCTGTCTAATCGTAACAAAATTGCGTTAACCCCTTTATTTGCTGGATTTTATTGACTTAAAGTCATTGGTAAGGTAAATGCAACAAATAGTAATTAGATTTAATTTGTACAATTCGAACCAATATACAAAACCAAAACGAAGATCAATTAATATACCCAACTATTACTACAAGGTATTACTTATCAATACAATTTTGGCAGAGTCATACATTAATACCTCTTACAATGCAAGTCTTTTACATGTACAACTCAGATCTGGTTGGGACCAATTTTATTTTGTTCACCACAAAAAATAAGCATACCCGTATTTTTTCGTTTTTCATAATGCGCTAATTTGAGCGCGGGGCGCGAATTTTAAAACGTTTTTCAACCCAAACCTAGGTTATTAAAAATTCTGTAAATTTTCGAATTTTTGCGCGAATCCAAAAATTCGAAAACATGTGTCTTCAGAATGACTTACTTGACTAATAAAAAATTCAAATGCATTATTTTTTGAAAAATTAAAAATTTGAAAGAGTTTATAATTTTAATGAATTTCAAAAACTGGCAAAAAATTTTGAAAATCAAATTTCGAGACAATTGGATTTTTCATAAGTCAGGCAAATCATTCTGTAGAGACATGTTTTCGAATTTTTGGATTCGGGCTAAAATTCGAAAATTTACAGAATTTTTAAAAACCTAGGTTTTGGCTGAAAAATGTTTTAAAATTCGCGGCCCGCGCTCAAATTAGCGCATTATGAAAAACCAAAAAATACGGGTATGCTTATTTTTTGTGGTGAACAAAATAAAATTGGTCCGAACCCGATCTGAGTTGTACACGTAAAAGACTTGCATTGTTAGTATTACTTATTTTAATACTGGACTTCTAACTGTGTATGTATGTAGGATAAGTCGTAATTATTTCAAGCAAAAAGTATAATGATATATGCATGTGTGTACGTATTTATATACATACCTAGTACTCGCTAAAGCTAATGACCACTACCACTTCGTAGAATAGTTCCTTCCCCACTCAATAATTTTAATTAAGTTAAGTAATTTAGTTATACATTATAATTTATGCTGGAAGAAATACGTTTTTTCACTTAAATTTACGATTAATTTGAAATATATTTATGTATGTATGTCTTTATTGCATAAATGGCCAGTAGCCCTTGCAAATCACAAATTTTCATTATTCACAAGACTTTAGAAAAAAATGTATTAAATAAGTTTTAAAGGTAGTCAGAACAGAGATCAAAATATTTGGAGACATTGATCCAGAATAAAAAAATACTGGAATAAAATTTCTTGTCGTTTGGTGTATAATTAAGCAGATTGATAAGTTTTCCGTGTGGTTCACAGTTGTTATCGGTAATATAATTATTGATTAATTTGAAATGTATGTATATAATTTCAACTTAAAATACATAGGAATATTCCATGTTAATCACAAATTGTGATTCACAATAAATTGACTTGTACATATTTACGTATGCAAAGATGAAACAGAAATAATTGAATTAATTTTTTGAATAAATTATTCAAAGCTCTATTTTGCTATTCCATCCAAAATTTGGTAATTTTGCTTCCCCTTGAAATATGCTTACACGGCATTATCATAAAAAAAGATAAGTAACATATCATTGCCCAATTGTTAGTAACGCTCTGAACGTCCCCTTAATAATTCCTCGGAAGAATTTGAGCACCGTCATCCGTTTCATTGTAAATACGCCTTCTTCTCCAAACGTCAAAGGTCTCATTGATTTCCGGAATTTTGACAGAATTTTCCGCTCTATTTTCTCCCCAGATTTTATTAACTTCCAAGATTTCGGAACTTTCTTCGCTTCCATGTCCATCCTTCCGAACGTTTCGAGAATCAGTCCCCACACGAGTTGTCCATTAACTGACCAACTTATGAGCATCACCTAATTAAAAATAATTGCAAATTTTTTTATTTGATTATCAGCTAAACAATACAATGCAAAAATATGCATACAAATTCACCTTGGTAAAATATGTCAGAGAATCCCACTTCTTGATGGAAACAAAGTTGCAAAACAGGCAGAACTGGCCATACGTGCTGTGAATGTAGAGCAACAAGAGCCCCATTGTTTCCATGACTTCCATATTTATCAAGTTTAGGCAGCTGTATTCCCTCATTATATTTCCAGGCTGTCGAACTTCTTCAATTGCTTCATGTCGTGTCGTCAATTCGGGTCGTAACTCCATCAAAATTGGATAAATCCCGTGCAATTCGTTCCCACTGTTTCCATTAGGGAGAGCCCAATGGGAAACAGTGTTGGGAAAAGGGGAAGGATTCCCCATCACTTTTCTCAAATACGAACCCATTGATTCATATTGGGAATTTAGCATGAACATTTCATTTCGTCATATATGATATCGGGAAACACTATCCAGTATGAAAATATACTATATGAAAACCATCAAAATTCCCATTGGATATTTTAAAATAAATCCCGGAACAAAAACAAAATATCAACTATTAAAAATTCAATGTATTTATTTATACAAGAATCCAACTAATAAATTTTATACTGTTCTTAATTGTCCCCTACCAAGTTGAGATACTCCTCAACTCTCGTTTCTGAATCATCGGAATTCGGACGACTGAATTCCTGCGACGTGATCGTTGAATTTCCAGCCAGACCTGTGAGGCGATTCATCTTCTTTCTGGCATCCCCAGGAATATTGTGAAGCTTCTTTTCAAAAGTTAACCACTCAACAGTATTTGGCTTCAGACCGAAAATTTCCGTTGTGTAATCTATAAAAAAACAGTACATTTTCGTTCATGTTTTTTTCATGTTTTTTAAATCAATAATATGATGAATATCAAGCTCACCCTTTAATGCTTTAAATCGGATAGGGTCGATACATCTTCGAACATTGTTCCGAAAGGCTGGAGATGGCTTACCAGTCAAGGACGAGTTGGCAATTTCTTCGAGAGTAAAAATCTCACCTTCAAAGATCAATTTGCGGAAGAAGAAACTTGGTCGGGAGACACAGCTAAGTTTAGCCAATTCCAGAAACGATTTTTTAACAAAGATCCCCGGTTTGATTTCGATCTTCTCAGCTTCCACAAATTGTGTGTCTGTCGCTGGACTGATTTTTCTCATCATCCCTACATAATATTTGTTGAAAATTAAAATAATAAGTTAAATAATAATGTCTAAATTAATAGCTAAATGTCATAGTACATAGTACTTTACTTCTAAGTTTCCGATTTTTTTTCTTTTCCTCGTACAATTCGGCTTGTAAATTTGCGATGACGTTGTCCTTGTTTAGCTCAAAGTTTTCATTTGTCGCTGGAACACTCTGCAGACCAGGCACAGGAAAATTGCATGAAATAACTAAAAATAATTTCACGTGAAACAATCTCACGACACCTGAGGTTCTTCAATCCCGCCATCAATTTCAATTCGGTCGACTCCGTCGGGTAACTCGGCGACTCCAACCGGCACCAGCCCCAATGTAAATTCAAAATCTGTAGTTTTTGCAATAGAAGTGGAAACTGCCAATGCAGTATCCGCTCGGTTTAATTTTGCAGGAATAAACTAGAAGTAAATATAAACGAGCAATAAATTTGGAAGTCGATGGCAATGCATCTAATCAAGTGATTTATTTCATTTCATAATGAAATTTTCATTCATGATTATTACCTGGTCTGGGTCGAAAATCCCATCATCTTGCGAACGCGAAATTAAATGGGACCTTTTATATCCCAAGATAGTTTCCGGTGGTTCTTCCTTTTCAAGACTCGTTAGCAGCAACAATAGCTAGTCGGCTTTCCTCCTTTCTCATCGCCCTTTTCTTGCCGTATTGAGTATTTTAAAAATCAGTAATAGCTAATATGCGACTAATACTCATGAGCACAATTAAATTTTATACTCACCAATTGCGATTATTTTTGCAACACATACTTCATTTTTCCACTTGATTCTGACTGATTTTCCGATTGGTTCTTGCTCATCACCTTCAACAAACTCTAAATCTTTCAACGACACAGTCGAATATGAGTTTTCCTCCTCCCAACATACGACAGCGTGGGTCATGTCACCGTAGGTATATCTAAAAGAATAGAAAATTGACCAGAGCGAGTGATTTAGTCTGACCAGAGCTTAAGAACGACTGATACTGAAACTAAAAAAGCATGGTGAGCAGCAAATAGATTCTGATATGCCGCTCAGTATTTATCGGGGCTACTTGACGTCAACGATGAGTCGTAGAATGCGAGGATTTTTGGCAGCCACCTGTTAGTTCGAACTGCAGTCCAAATTATTATTGTATTTACGCTGTCTATATAATTTGTTGTTATTTTAAGCTATTAGCTAAGCCACGAAAAATGTCCAGCAATCAAAGGAAGCGTTATATGTCCTACAAGTCTCGTTACAATCTGATTCAAAAGGTAATCTGCAAAATATTACTTAGATTTTCACAAAATTTGTTGACCACTTCCTTTTTATTTTGCAGACAAAGAAAAGAAAAAAAGCAGAGTTCTGAATCCATTTCGTCTGACGATAATAGATCCAATTCCTCAAATCCATTGCTACTTGACTTCGACTGTTCGTCACAAATTGGTTAGAAATGCAAGCGTCAGATTCAAATAAAAATTGAAATATATGTGAATAATATTTAATATTATAAAGCCTGCGTTTTTATAATCAGGGGAACCGATCTCACCGCATCCTCCGGAATGGGACGTGTCTAGTTTAACGAGCAACAATACGTCGGATTGTGAAGATTTTGACGACTCTGTGACCATCAGTGATGAGTCGATCGTGGAAATGCAAATGCTAGTGAGTTTTTTTTGTAATGAATGCATATCTAAAACAAAATTATGTGAACGAAAATTATTGTTCATGTAGGAGCCAACCCTTTACCCTCTTTGCCAATTAACGAAAACAACTAGTATGAAATTGATTCAGTCCGTCCGTTCAAGACATTCGCTTACAAAAGCAGCCACTGAGGACATTTTGAAACTTATCCAGCTTCACCTTCCTCCGCAAACATCTTACCCGACATCATATTCTGGAATATGCAAAGAATTAGGCACTGAAAAAACATGGTGTACGCGAGTATTTTACTGTGCTAAATGCAATACAAAACTTCGTAATTTTGTTTGCAACGTGTGTCAATGCGTCTATACGGAGAAGCAACTAATCTGAGCTTTTTTCTAATCTGTGATTTAAGGAAGCAGTTCTGTATTGTGCTTAAAGATGCTGTTGTGCAAAAATCCTTATTAGCGAGTTTTCATAATTCTGGAAGGTCAGGTAGATTGGATGGCATTACTTCCGGAAAAATGTACCGCTCATTCCCGAGAAGATCCACTGATTTAAGCTGTACTTTCAATACAGACGGAGTTCCGGTATTTCATTCCTCTAATTGTTCGATATGGCCGGTACTGTTTACAATTAACGAGCTACCATTTTATCTTAGGAAACGGCACGTATTGTTAGGAGGAGTTTGGTTCGGGCATTCTAAACCGGATATAGAAATGTATTTAACTGAAATTATACCGCAAATGAACTCCTTGTTAAACGGAATCAACTGGAAAACTGCTGACGGTGTGAGCATTAGTTCTAATGTTACGTTTAATTTATGTTCCGTTGATTCTGTTGCAAGATGTATGCTACAAGGACATAAGCAATTTAATGGAAAATATGGATGTAATTGGTGCACTAATTCAGGAAAATCTGTTAAAAAGGGTCGTGGAAATTGTAGAGTTTTTTTGCCAGACGAGAAAGATGTAATTTTCAGGAACGGAAATTCCTACAAATTAAATGCCAACCAAGGGGAATTCGTACTTGGCCAAAAATTTCGTAGCCCATTGTGCGATTTGAAATACTTTGATCTGGTTAATGGTTTCAGTGTAGACTATATGCACTGCATTTTTCTTGGAATAGTTAGAAGTTTTACCCAACTGTGGTTAACAAATAAATTTGGCAGTTATTATCGCGGAGATAGGTCTGAACAAATCGACGCTAGGCTGATGAATGTCAAGGTTCCATCAGAAATAGTACGATCGACTCGGAGCATTTCCACTAATAAACATTGGAAAGCTTCCGAGTGGCGGACGTGACTATTTATTCTACCATGTATATTGAAAGGAATATTGCAGAAAGAATATTTAAAGCATTTTGGAAAATTGTCCCGAGCTATTTTCCTCTGCTCACAACGTTCCATTGTAGAAGCAGAACTACGAACATCTGAAAAGTTCATTTTCTCGTTTCTAACAGATGGTTTGGAATTATATGGGGAAACTTTTTACAGTTTTAACGTTCACCAACTGCAGCATTTAATTGCCACAGTAGAAAATTGGGGTCCTTTGTATGAGAGCTCGTCTTTCCAGTTCGAATCTTTCAATGGTCAGTTGAAAAAATATATAAAAAGCTCTAATGGGGTAGTGAAGCAAATTACAGACAGTTTCTTGGATATGGAAATATGTGAATTCGTTCAATCTTCCAACTTGGATTTGCCTGTCCAAAATTTTTTATCCAAACTAAATAAAGCTTTCAAGCGAAATAAGGAATTTAATATAATTAGACCTCAAACAAAGCCGGAATTACTCCAAGACTTTCGAAGAGAGTTTCAATTGGAAACAAATTCAAACTTTGTTTGCTCAAATGTTGGTGTGATTTTTTATCATCGATTCTGGGCAAAAGAAACTTATAAACGCTGCAATAACATTGTTTTTTTAAGAGATGATACTCTCGGAAAAATTGTGCAATTTATCGGAACGAAATGCACTTGCCGTGTAAACTGTTTATGCGAACCTCCATTACTAATTTTATCTACATTTAAGGTTAAAAAGTTGAAACAAATGCCTTACATATATTATTGCGCAAACGGTGTTTCCTTAACACGGGAACTAATTAGCTCTAAACTCTTGTTACCTTTAAAAAAGTTTTTTGTGTATCGAAATGATATAAAAACATATTATATTGATGTTGTAAATTTGTTCGAAACAGATTAAAAACTATGTAAATACAGAATTTGTGAATGGGATTTGTCGTTTTTTATGTCATGCTACATACATATGCAAGAAGTAAGAACTCGTACTGGGTCATCGTAAATTCGGAATCTGGCTTTATATGCATAGTTTCAAGATCAAATAAAATTTCATACATTTATTTCATATTTCATGCATTTTCGTCTAAATCCAAAATGATTAATTCAGATGGGATATTGAGTTATATAATGCAAGCATGTTCCAATCCGATCCCGTTAATGTTAGGAATTCCATTGGGGACCTGGCAGTCATTTTCCTATATGAAAATTTCCAATTGGATTTTTTACATGAAATGCATATATGCATCACTTCTTATTGGAAATATACTGTAATCATAAGGGATCCTTCAGGATCCTTCTACTGTTCAGATTCCCCAATGGATCCCAAGTCTCAGAAACGCACGGGAAGGGGTGCTATATGCACATAATTTCGTAATCAAACCTTCTATTTACCTTAAGGTTTTCAATTTGGAGGTTTTGAAATTATCATATTTAGAATTTCAAATTCAACAATAGTTTGCATCTTCTAGATACTTACCACAATAGACGATCACCATCATTCCCAGTGCAAGAATAGCGTAAAAAACTGCACAGCTGCCCACAACAAGTATTAGGAAGTCCACTACTAACACCAGCATGTGAATAAGGCTGACCGTTTCTGGGTCGAATTGCATATATTTAAGAAATTCCTTAACTGCTGTGTTCCCAAAAAGGGGCATTTCGGGATATCGAACATAGAAAATTGGACACGTCCATGGAAGCAGCGTCAATGAGACGATACATATTCGAAAGGCTGGGTCCACCAAGCGAGACAATGGCGCTACTTCAGGGTCGTATTTCGGCATCCATTTTTCTGAAAAAGAGTAAGCGCAGTTTGGAAATAAGGTAAAATTGCATAAAATTCAGGGCTGGAATTTTGTGAAATTTTAAGACAAAATTTTGCAAGAAAAAGCTTAGACCGTAACAACCGTGGACTTGTTCAATGATGTAAAGAACATTTAATTTTGTAATCCTTACCCTGAAAATTGACATTGTACTTAATAATTCTGTTAAGTACCGCGATAATTTTGTCCTGGCGAAAGAACAGAACACAAAGTGGAGATATGATGCACACCGCCGCAAAAACGAAAGCCCAACAGATTGGGACCTGTTCCCGCAGTGATTTGTCAAACTTGGCTCTTTCTTCGAGTTGAACAGTTCGAAAAACCACAAAGAAAATTTGGACAACTATGACACTAAATACATTTTGATGTCTTTTTCGTCGCGACGGGTCATACTTAAATTTGTTAGTCTTTATGTCAAATGAAAAGCTAGTCACACCAACGAAAGAGCAAAGTTTGGTTGAGATTGACAATAATTTTTTGAACTGCGTTGAGTACATTTTGCAGGACGAGATTTTTTGTGAAAACTTTTGGACAGAATTTTTCGAAATTTAGACATGTAACTTTATTAGAGACAGGATTTCATCCAGAAAAAAGTGAGGGTTGGGTTTGCCAGCGATTGATTTTTCGTGTAATAAATAAAACTGTCTATAAAACTGTATGTATAATACGTACTTCATAAAAGTATAATAATGCGAAATGGCTGGCTAAATGCCAAAATATACCCTTACAAACTGTAATTTACAATGGTAGTAAATTTTAGCCACGTACAGGAAGAACCAAATTTACCAGACCAGATTTTGATCTGGCCTACATATCTCGAAAGCGCTTAAAATCCTTCGTCTTAATTTTTTGATAAGAGTATTTATTTATGGTTAGACCGATCTAGGTATAATTTTGAAAAATGTGGTCAAGCGTAGAGGACACAACTATTTAACCCCAAAACCAGCTATCCTTAGAAATGTTTTCACACCCACAGTGATTTTTTGAATAGCGCAATTTTAAAATTTAGCCCTATAAGCGTTAAAATATAACTTTTCAAAACATCAGTTTCCAAAACATAAAAAATCACTGGATATTAAAGTTCTAACAATGCAAGTCTTTTACGTGTACAACTCAAATCTGGTTGGGACCAATTTTATTTTGTTCACCACAAAAAATAAGCATACCCGTATTTTTTCATTTTTCATAATGCGCTGATTTAAGCGCGTGGCGCGAATTTTAAAACATTTTTCAGCCAAAACCTCGCTTTTTAAAAATTCTGTAAATTTTCGAATTTTAGCGCGAATCCAAAAATTCGAAAACATGTCTCTTCAGAATGACTTACTTGACTTGTAAAAAATCCACATGCATTATTTTTTGAAAAATTAAAAATTTGAAAGAGTTTATAATTTTAATGAATTTCAAAAACTGGCAAAAAATTTTGAAAATCAAATTTCGAGACAATTGAATTTTTCATAAGTCAGGTAAGTCATTCTAAAGAGACATGTTTTCGAATTTTTAGATTCGCGCTAAAATTTAAAAATTTACAGAATTTTTGAAAACCGAGGTTTTGGCTGAAAAACGTTTTCAAATTCGCGCCTCGCTTTCAAATTAGCGCATTATGAAAAATGAAAAAATACGGGTATGCTTATTTTTTGTGGTGAACAAAATAAAATTGGTCCCAACCAGATCTGAGTTGTACACGTAAAAGACTTGCATTGTAAGTGTACAAGATTTTCAGGATCATGCCGCAAATGTTCTTGGTTTCACCTATGCAAAATTTGGTTAACTAGTTTTTTGTACGCTTTAGTACTTAGGGTTTGATAACCTCGGATTTTACTGGCATAAGCCAATTGGCATAATAGATAGTATACTATCCAATTATAATTGGATTGCATTTTTACAACCCCGATATAATGTTCGAAGCCCAAATTAAAATCAATTTAATGCATACATACTGCTGGCAAAGTTACGTTTGTACATAAGTAGAAGCATTTAAAAACACTGAAAACCATAGGACAAACTTTGAATACTTAAATGGAGTTCAAAAAGTCCATGTGGGTATAATTTTTACATATGCATTTCAGTCTAAATATAATCAAAGACGTACATAGGTATGTATTTATAGGTACATTCATATATACATACATGCGCACATATTTATGTAAATACCTATTCAAAATCGGCCATTACTGATGCGGTTGCGATATATTATTTGACGCAAAAAAAACTTAACAATATATCAAAGCAAACCCGAAGGTCACCTGCCTTTGTCTTATGGCAGAGTGTTTGTTAGATAAATTTATTGAAATTTCTTGCAGATTTTATTTCTGTATTTATTATTACAACCTATGTATGTATGTAAATATGTACAGCGAAAACAAAATCCCAAATATTTATATCACCGTAGATACTTATGTACATACATTCATCATCTCTGCTTAAAATCATGCATGTTTGCATATAAATTGCTATACTTTTTAGTCACTCTCCAATCGTCAATAACGCTCTGAACGTTCCTTTCACAATTGCTCGAAAGAATTTAAGGACCGTCATTCGCTTGATTGTAAACACGCCTTCCTGTCCGAATACGACGGGACGACATGATTTTCTGAATTTCGTAAATATTTTGCCCTCTAATTTATCCTTGATTTTTATCTGTTTCCATGACTTGGTAACTTTCGTTGCTTCCAACGCTATCCTTCCGGCCATCTCGAGCGTTAAGCCCCAGATTATCTGACCCGTGGTTGACCACGTGAGCAGCATGCCCTAGACATAGATACATATATTTAGTTTTAAATTACTAAATCACTGGTCACTGGTCATTATATAGAAAGTCACTATTATTTAAGAAGAGACTTTAAAGTTACATAACTTTCAAGTTAAGTTTTTGCAATAAAAATTTTTTAACCACATTAGTTAGAAAGAGAAACTCTTTAGAAGCAACATTTAGTGATGCACGTGCCCATATGCGAAAAATTCGGTAAGCTTAGGGCGCCTAAATCATATATATTTAATATCAGCCAAAATTCTCACTTTTCCAGCAGAATCTATATTTGCCTGTAGCACCAATTGCAAATTTGCAGCGCTCGTAGCTTGCTTCACCTTCACAATTTTCATATTTACCATTCGGAAACAACTTTAATACCGAGAAATCAACGTGACTCACCAGATTTCTAGCAGTTGCATAGACTCACCTTCGTAAAATGTGTCATCGAATTCCAATTCCTTATCGCTTGGAAATTACAAAATAGACAAAACTGTCCCCACGTGAAGTGAACGTAGAGCGTGAGAGGTCCAAGGGTTTCCATAACAGTCATATTTGTCTATTTCATGCCAACATATTCAAGCTGCAGATTACTGACTAGTCTCACGTCGTCTCGGGCAAAATGAGATTTCTTAATGTCGGCCCGTAACTCGATCATAATGCGACGAAGTGGAGCTAAAATAAAAATATTGAATTATGAAATTACGTATGTAATATGTGGATGCATGGAATATGTATTCATATTGTAGTTCAAACCCAGACAAATGATCATTGACTTAGCAGATTTCTAATCAAGAATTGCACACATTATTGCATTTTATAAAAATCTTCGAGGTTAAAAATCACTTGTCTGCTTTTCAGCGACAATTAAGATGGTTCGCTGTTTAATAAGGTAACTAATTAATTAAGGCATTAAGGTATTCATAATTTTAATAGCGCCCAGGTATGTATCATGCAATACTTTACGAAGAAAAAATAAGGTGCCCACCTTGGTCAAAATCATAATCTTAGTATCTCGAAACTGTCGCAATTTACTTTACGATACGAAGAACACTGAGGTTACGAAGGAATCATGAATACCCCCATTGCCCAGTACAAATATGTACTTATATCAATAACTCACCGCAGTATAAGGTAATCGACATACCAAGGATTAACATCGTATAGAAAATTAGATAGTTGCATGCAGCCATGTTTAAAAAATCAAAAACCATGACGACCTTTTCAATTATAGTTGCGATTTCCGAATCCCCCAAAACCTCTTTAACCGCAGTATTGTAAAATACTGGTGTTTCTGGAAACATTAAGTAGAAAATTAAACACGCCCACGGCTTCGTGCTGAGGGAAACCATGTAAATCAGGAAACTTTGGTAAATGCTCCTCGTAAAGTAGACACTAAAAATTTTAAATTTCTATGTAACAATTTGCCTGGCTGTTGGCAGTATAAAGTTGCTGCTTCCTGTGGTTAAAGATTAACTAAAACATTATTCTATGATTTTAGAGCATTGTTTTAAAATTACTGTGACAAATTAAGCGAAATTCTATGGAGTTGAGTTTATTGCTGCTCTGATATTTGGCGAACAGTTGACAAATTGACGAAAACATTGGTGTATAATTTTTTATCGTCCAAGTAAAGCCAGCATAGATATGAGGAAAGGTTGACGAAATAAGTATGTATGTAATGCATGTACCCATTGGCTTCCTCACTTATTAGGACGCACGAGTTGGTAACAAAAGGGTTATAAATATTTGTTTCATTTTTATCTAGTTATATACAGTTTTGCAGACCAAATAATTAATTGTATGTATGTATGTATTTATTAGTTATTTTGCATACCTGATGTCGTAAATACGAGCTTCCTCCTTGGACACGACAAAAGTGCTCTCATGAACTACAAGCGACCTACATATGCATTTGAGAAGGTGAGTTTAAAGGCAATTGTGATTTTTAATCATAAAAAATTATACGTACATACATATGTATGAATGTATGTATACACATTGCAAGGGTTATTTACATATAATCTGTATGAACCACCTATCGTTAAAGACTCAGGCATAACAAGAAACGATGTACGTCAGCACAAAGTACACTGAAATAAACCGCAATGTATACTTAAATGTTTAATAAAATTTAGTCGATATACAACAATAGTATTGAGAAACAAAATCTACACTTGTCACCATGCTGCTTCCCCCAGAATGATATGCATTATTTATATATACATAATACATACCATTAACCCGAGCTGCCAAATCCTAGTACCGAAAAACTAACGAAATTGAACACCATAATGTAACGATTCGGCGCCGAAATTTATCAATGGTACCGATCAGGTACCGATCTGGTTGGGTATCAACGTTCACTAACGAGCACCGATTATACACCTACATTTCGGTGCCAAATCCGCACGGAATATTCAGTACCAATGAGTAGGCAATGAAATAACGTTGATTTGGTGCTAACTGCGAAATTTCGGTACCTTTTCATTAACGAAGTAGCGTTGCATTTCGGTACCTTTTCGTCGGCGCCTAATCGTTACATACTGTGTAGCTCGGGAATTTCCTTGATTCCATCTGAACTATAGTTCAGAAAATCTGAGAAAACTGCTCTTTAAGGTTTAATTAATAAACTAGGATGTCTGTAATTACTTATTTTGGAATTATGTACATAGAAAAACCTTGTCTAGCATTAATACACAAAAACCTGGATAATTTTATTACATTGTCTAAGGATGAGTGCACACACACGTAAAAACTTGTGCATATAACATACACAAGTATATAATATATACTTATTATAATATATATATATTATGTATGTACTAGCGTATAAGCCCGTCTCCGCCGGGCGAGCGAGAATTATAAGCTAGAAATGTCTGTTGGAAATGGAAGTGAGAGTAAAAAAATTTAAGGATTTGCGGATGATTCCACCCGATCAATCGCACCCCGTCTAACGCACCCCACCATTGCCACCCCGAGGATGATGCCACCCCCAAACAATCGCACCCGAGTAATCACACCCCTGTAGATGCCACCCCTTATCAATCGCACCCCTAGGAGTATCCCACCCCCGAAAGAGATCTTGACAAATTCTCATGCACAAATAAATAAGTGTAATAAATATGCGATATGTTGCTGAATTTGTTGGGGTTCTAAAACAATGCTAGGATTTTGCCACGAGTGAGATTTTGAGTTACTGTCATCGTTTTGTAAAAAAAGGACACAATCCTAAGAATCCTAAGAAGGACTTACACATTAGTCCTGCTACCAGTAAAAATAAAGCAAACGTGTACATATTACTTTTTTAATGTGTATATAATTTTAATATGGATGTATAAGTACGTATTACATTTCTAACTTTCTTCAGCCTTCGAGTGAGATTTTGACAAATGCTTAGGCATAAAAACAGAGTTGTTGGTTTAAAAAAATCCTAGTAATTTATTCAAATATCGTCAGGCTTAATAAATTTAATTCATATTTCGACAAAAAATCTAAAAAAATAAAATCTCTGTAAAAATTGACACACAAATCATTCGTATCAAATATAAAAACTCTTCCCAAAAAATAAGTCACTATCAGCAAAAATAAATCTCAGTAAAAATTCAAACACCGTCAAAATATAAACTATTAGATCGAAAAATTAATCAATTCAAATACGGTACACAATTCGCCTGATGCAGTCCATGTGAGAAATTTGATGATATCTAAATAAATTACAAGCAGTGTTTTTTAAAAAAACCAACAAAAATGTAAAAATGTAAAAATGTAAAATTTTTACTAGTAACTGGATTAATATGTAAGTCCTTCTTCGGATTCTTAGGATTGTGTCCATTATTTACTAAGCCATGACGGTAACTCAAAATCTCACTTGTGGCATAATCCTAGCATTGTTTTAGAACCCCAATAAATTCAGCAACATATCGCATATTTACTACACTTATTTATTTGTGCCTGAGAATTTGTAAGATCTCTCTCGGGGGTGGGATACTCCTAGGGGTGCGATTGATAAGGGGTGCCATCTACAGGGATGCGATTGATCGGGTGGCATCATCCGCACACCAAAAAATCAACCTTTTAGGAGAAACAACCACTCCAAGATAACCACCATCAGATAACCACTCGCAGTATAGCAATATGGTTTGAATTTAATTTATTCCGAGTTTTTGCTCCATTTGAACTTTGTCTACTTTAACGAAAAATTACATTCACCTCCGTTCTCGACAGACATTTCCAGCTTATAATATAGATTATAATATAGATGGGTTTTATAAAATATTTTCTTCAATTTGGGTAAATTTCCTTCCAGAACGCGTCATCTAATAAATCTGGAATAAATCATGGCCTACAAGCAGGTCCAAATTCTAACAACCGCAATCAACAATATCAACCCAGGGGGAATCTACCAATCATGATGATTGACCTTACCTTTGTTGGTGTCACGTGCTTTTACGCATACATATTCAAAATCCGCCCTTATTGATGCGGCGGCGATATAAATATTTACGTTTCCGATTACTATCCTAAAAATAAGCAAAAATTATTTCAATCAAAAAAGCATAATGACCTATCAAAACCTAACCAACTTGCATAAACGAGTTTTATGTTTGACAAATTTCTTGAAATTTCTGGTAGACTTATTATATTCAAAACTACATAAATAAGATTCGACTTATGCGGAGCCATGGGAAAATTACAACCCATTATTTTATAGTATTTATCATCTCGTATAAAGAAATATTTGCATATAAATCATTATACTTTTTGCTCACTCTTCAATCGTCAGTAACGCTCGGAACGTACCTTTCACAATTGGTTACGAGATTTTGTAAGTATGGTATGATTTCGAAATTAAAAATTGCGTTACCAGGGTTACCATTTCTACGAAGCTTACCCAATTGTTTTTTTCTATCGAGAACTATTTTACAATACAAAGGATACAAATGAATCATGAATACTCTTATTGAAATTTTTGCAAGTACGTGTATTTCTGCAGACTTACAAAAATTCCTTAACCATTATATTTATTATCATAAATATTATTGTCCAATAGTTAACAATGCCCGAAACGTCCCTTTAATAATTCCCCGAAAGAACTTCAGCACCGTCATCCGCTTCATGGTGAATACGCCTTCTTCTCCAAACGTTAAAGGTTTCATCGACTTGCGGAACTTTGACAAAATCTTCAGCTCTATTTTGCCCCCAGATTTTACAAACTTCCACGATTTTGGTACTTTCTTCGCCTCCATGTCCATTCTTCCGAACGTTTCCAGACTCAGCCCCCACACGAGTTGACCATTAACGGACCAACTTATGAGCATGACCTACATAAATTTTTAATTTGTTTACAAACAAACCATGCACGAAAATTAAATAAACCGTAGTAACGTTAGAAGTAGCTCACCCTGCAATAATCATTTGCTATAATTTTGCACCAAAGGTGCAGAATTAGCCGACAAAATAAGTGCATATGTGTTATACAATTTTGCACCATTGGTGCAGAGCAATCACGGAAATTACATATTTATGGTACTCATATAATTTTGCACCAATAGTGTAGGATAACGCGAGAAAATACATATTTAATTGTTACGAAATTTGGACCTTTGGCACGAACGAATTAATTGGGGATGTCAAATTTTTGTAATTGTTTCTTCCAGTTATTCTGCACTGTTGGTGCATTTTGCATCGATTCTCCAAATTGTTTCGTATCATTTTGGACAACCGATTGTTCGATACTAACGGTGCGACTTATTTAAAAATTGTAGTCCTCCGTCGATCAATTGTCCGAACTGGTTCGCACCATTTGCATACTGATTGATCAAAATTGTGTAATTATTTTTTCCCGTTATTCTGTACTTTTGGTGCGTTTTGCATCGATGATCCCAATTATTTTGCATAATTTTCTTTAACCGATTATTCGACCCCAAAGGTGCTAGTTATTCCATACTTGTAGTCTTTTCACTATCGATTTTCTGAATTGATTCGCACCAATTGCCTCATGGATTGTTCGATACCAATGGTGCAACTAATTGATTCAATAATGGACAAGGGGATTTATAATTAGCATCAATTGATGCAAAAAACTCGTGAACACACGGACGGACAGACAGACAGACAGACGGACAAGAGGAATTCAATAGCTCTCGTGCTACGCAGGGTGAGCTAATAATGCGAAAATATCCATTTTCAAGTACCAACTTTGTAAAATATGTCAAAGAATCCCACTTCTTGATGGCAACAAAGTTGCAAAAAAGGCAGAATTGGCCATACGTCCCATGAATGTAGAGCAGTAAGGGACCCATTGTTTCCATGACTTCCAAATTCAACAATTTTAGACAGTTGTATTCTCGCATTAGATTTCGAGGCTGTCGAACTTCGTCAATTGCCTCATGTCGCCTCGACAAGTCGAATCGTAATTCCCTCAAAATGGGATAAAGCGGTGCTATAATTCCGTAAACAAGCTTTATGTACACTAAGGTTTTAAGGTTTGAGATTTGAAAACCATAAAAAAAATTTGGGCCTCCGAATGTTTTTCATGTTATAAAATTTTGTGCATATCTTCTAAATATGTACTTATTTCCTTACCACAATAGACGATTACAATCATTCCCAATGCAAGAATGGCGTAAAAAACGACATAGCTGCCCACAACAAGTATTGGGAAGTCCGCCACTAATGCCAACATGTGAATAAACCTGACTGTTTCTGAGGAGAATTGCATATATTCCAGATATTCCTTAACTGCAGTGTTCCCAAAAACAGGCATTTCGGGATATCGAACATAGAAAATTGGACACGCCCAAGGAAGCAGGGTCAGCGAGACGATACAAATTCGAACCGATGAGTCCATCAAGCGAGACAATGGCGCTACTTCGGGGTCATATTTCGGCATCCATTTTACTAAAACAAGGTGAGCGCAGTTTTAAAATAAGTACATAAACAAACATTTGTGTATAACTCTTTTTGTTTTAGCCGTCAAGTGTAGCAAAATTTTTATAAATCAAGCTTGATGCCATCAAGCTTGATTTACAAAAATTTTGCATCAAGTTGATGCGAATAAATCAATCACTCAATCAAAACATAAAATTCAGAGCCCTGGTATTTTAAGCCCCACATTTTCGAAATTTTAACTCTTCGAAATAATACTCTTTGAAAAACAGTATTAAAATTGGGTAGGGGCTTCTTAACTAGATTCAAGTTCTGCATGCTTTAAGTGTCTAAAACCTTAATAGATGTTCTTCGGGATAATACGTCTCACTAAGTTCTTTGACTTGTGCAGCAAAAGTAGCACAAGTTGTGATTTGCAAAAAAATTACAATTTAGAAAATTTACCTTGAAATTGGGTGTTGTAGTTGATAATTTTGTCCTGGCAAAAGAACAGAACGCTCAGTGGAGCTACGATGCACACCGAGGCGAACACAAACGCCCAACAGATCGGGACCTGTTCCCACAGTGAATTATCAAACTTGGCTCTTTGTTCGAATTGAACAGTTCGAAAAACCACAAAGAAAATTTCTAAAACCACGCCACAAAAGGCAAGTTGATGCCTCGTTCGTCGGGACGGATCGTGCTTAAATTTATCATTTTTTATATCGAATGAAAAGCTGATCACGCCAAAGAATGAGGAAAGTTTGGTTATGATAGGCAGTAATTTTTTGAACTGCGCTGAATACATTTTAAATTTGATACAAATGAATTGAAATTTTGAATTTATTTTTTACATAGAACTTTTGTTAGAGAAAGGTTTTTATCCGACCGAGAATAAGGTATGGGTTTGCTGGCAATTTTATTTTGCGTTTACGAACCAAAAATGTCTGTCGAACAGCGTATGTAAATATGCATATTCCATGAATTCAGAGCTCCATGAAAGAATAATATGTCTAAAACGAAATGCGAAATGGCTAGCTAAATGCTAAATTACACCCTTATACATAAGCTATAATTTGTAGTATTAGATAACTTTTATTTTATTGACGTAAACCAACTTCTACAATAAATAGTAATTCGATTGAATTATGCAATTCAATCTAAGCACTACGATCTAGATTTTGTACAGTATTGTACAAAACCCAAATTATGATCAATTAAATAAATGCATGTTGGGCTGTATTTCAAAATACTAACAATACAGGGTAGATGCATGTTGTAATAATCGAGTTCAAAAAGTCCATTTCGGTATATTTTTTAGTCTATAATTAAAGACCGACATATTAAAAACTGGTCCTAATTCGTGCAGTGAATACATCGTTACGGATTACATACTGTCCTAAAAATAAGTAGTAAGTACTTATTTATAAAGCCAAAAGCATAACGGTGTGTCAACGACAAACCATATGACATTCTATAGGAGAATGTTATGTTTGTTGATTTGCTGAACTTTCTGGCAGATTTGATCATCTTTCGAATAATGTATGATATTATTATATACAAAGCAAAATATGTCAATTAGTTACAACTTACATTCGCAGAGCTTTAGCAAAATAAAAAAAAAATGTTTTATCATATTTATCATGTCATAACAATAGATATGAAAATTACTAGACACTCTAAGAAAACTGGTATTTTAAGGTATGGTCGGTTAGGAAAGAAACCTTTGAAAAATATATTTATTCGTATGAAAGGAAAATTGCCACTGAGTTGAAACGCGGTAGTTTTCTGGTCCATGCGATTAACTACCGAAATCCGGAAGTCGATATCTCGACTAGTTCAAAAATGAGAACAAAAAATCCAGAACAACTCGCAAAAAACATTTGCCACTACTACGAAAAAGTGTGCGAGCGCGTCCGGATAATGGTTAATAGCCACTTCGAAAGAGAAAAAATTCATAATGGTGCAATTTTCAGAGTTTTAGATATGTATGAGGAGAGCAGGAATACTGAATTCAAAAAATTAAAAAATCGTCCTGCTCGTGTAGCGACCCCCAAAGTGATACGTAGAGTTCAGAAAGAAAACAAAAATAACCTTGGGATATCAGATGGTAATTTGGGCTACAAATTGAAAATAGCAAAATTAAGTTTACATGTTATTAAACCTACGAAGTTGGGGGTCAAATCCTATAGGGCGACCCCTGCACCAAACTACAACCAAGGTCAGCAAAAAAGAGCAAAGTCCAACTCTCGGCAGATTGCTGAAAAACGAGTCAAGCAAAACATGCGCCTGATTCTGGTCATGGATGATGAGACCAAGTGCTCGAATGATCCAGATGAAGTCCCTGCGAGGAAGTACTACTCATGTACTAATAAGAAAACATTTAAAGATTCCCTTAAATACACGCCGAAGTCAAAATTCCCCACAAAGCACATAATGGGGCAAGAATTGGACTCATTGGGGGACATCTCAAAGCCGTTCGTGACCCCAGCCACCATGACCTCGGAGAGATATCTGAACGAGTGTGTAAAGAAGATCTTGATGCCCTTTATCAATAATCGTAATGTACTTTTCTGACCGGACACAGCAACATGTCATTCTTCAAAAGTTGTGCTGGACTACCTGCGGTCGAAAAAAATCGATTTTGTTGCAAAAAAGGAATATGCTCCCTATGTCCCTCGGGCAAGACCAATTGAACGATTTTGGGCATTATGCAAGAGAGAATATTGTGGTCGAACAAAACCACTCAAAAACTTGGTAAGATTCCGTCACATTTGGACACACACCTCAAAAGTGGTAGCGAGAAAGAGTGGCAAAGCACTTCTTGGGACCGCGAGGCAAATAATTCGCCAGATAGGAAGGATGGGGGTCTATGGACCATATGAAGCAAAAAATTGAATAGTAGAGACCTTGTTTATAACCCCTGAAAATTTCTTTGGAATTAATTAAGTTTTTAGGATTTTACAGGCATTTTTCAATGGTTTCTTTCCTAACCGACCATACTATATGTGATGAAAGGAGTACCTGTGTGACACAGGTACTCCTGTCACATATTATTCTTGTTGAAAATCTGTCAAAATTGACACCTCAAAGTGGCTTCGACATTTTTGACCGTTAACCACACCATAATTGGATGAAGTGAAGCATGAATAAAACTTACAGCTGGACTTCAAGTTTCTTTGTTTTGTTAATGCAAACATAATTTTAAAGTATGGAATTTTATTCAGAATATATTACATACAATCATAAGATTTTAGTAGTTATTTAAAGACTCCCAGGTTCCGACATTTCCACAACGAATCCAAGCGACAATTTGACAAATTCGTTAACCTGGGTGAATCCCACGGATTCGAAGTTATCACCAGGCTAAAAATAAATTAATTTCATCATCATGAGTAAAGTTGACCTAAATCTTAATCAAAAAATATGAAAAAAATGATAAACGACCAGAGCCGTACAAACCTACCCTGTGCATCAGGGGGTGGAAAACGGTCTCTGCCGGGAACCCTGCTGGGAAGCCGTAATTGGTCCATGACGCGTGATCCGAGCACCCATATCCGCACGTCTTATTGATCCAGGTGTAAGTGCAATAGCCATCAACTAAAAGTCGGAGCAATGTAGTCACTTCAGCATTTACGTGGTCCGTATAGATTCCAATTTCGTCTCTCCCTGCGATATGGTATCCCGGCACGTCAAAGTTCACCATCCCCACGACGTTGACCCTGTTGGTGTTGTAGATCTGGGCAATAGCTGCAGATCCGCGGAGACCAACCTCTTCCGCAGCGTACCAATGAAACTCAATCGTCCTCTTTGGAATGTATCCGCCTTCAACAAGAACGCGAAGAGTTTCCAGCACGACGACAGAACCACTCGCGTTATCATCGGCACCTAAGTACATTCGGAGTGAAATTATGATCGGGATTCGCCACCTCGAGTTTTTGAGGGTTTCTGGGGTATCAAATCTCCGGAAAAAACCATAATGCTTAATGGTGTTCTTCCAGGATTTTTGTACGATTTTAAAGCAGATTGAAACAAAATCAAATCAATCCTTTAACTACAACTTAAATCAATGCTAATTAAATTTTCTGATTCATCATGAAATTTTGAGAATTGTATTGTGCGACTTGAATTTCCAAGTATATATCATTGCATACGAGTAATGTAGCTCGCAATTGCGAGCAGCCGCAGCACTATTATAAGCCCGTAATTCTGGTTCAACTTGCCCCAAAATTTACAAAAACACCCAAAAACCCCGGGGTTTTCCGAACCCTGATTAGGACCGCGTGACAAATTCCACATTACCCACATATATTTTGTTACGGCTTACCTGGGGCAGCGAGCAAGGCACCAAAAGTATTAACTGAGTCTTGATGAGCTCCAATGATAACAATTTCGCCCCGAAGAGTGGGATCAGACCCCGTAATTCGGGCAATGATACTGTTTTGGACTCCGAATGGGTGCACCACCTCATTGACGGTGGCATTTCCCACGTAGTTTGCAATGCTATCCTGAACTTGACTAAGGAGCCATCGCTGGGATTCAGTTCCGTTGGGGGATTGGTAGTACCTGCTGAAGTAGCTGCTGAAGGTCCCGACAAAATCTTGAATTCGGGTAATGTTGGTTCTTCCAAGAAGTCCGTTTACGGTAGATTGGAATCGAAGAGTGGTTGGAATTGCTGTGAGGAAATTTGCAAGTAATTTCATAGTTATGCAAATATTTATGTTAAGGTTCTAACGGATGACGCGTTGGAGCGTAATCTCACTCTCCCCTTATACAATGTCTTCAAATGCAATTTCTAAAATTGAATCAACACCACGAGTTTAAATTAAATTTAGTTTAATGTAAAGCATTTTTTGTTACTACAAACAAGTCGATTTGAAAAAGATTAGCCAATTGGTTTGCAATTTTTGATGCTAAATTTCTTTACAAATGAAGTCGCTAATTTTTTTAAATCGACTAGTTTGTAGTTAAAAAAAAGCTTAACATTGAAGTATCAAAAGTTGCATTTATCTCAAAACTCATGGAGTTGATTCAATTTTAGAAATTGCATTTGAAGAGATTGGATAAGGGGAGAGTGAGATTACGCGTCATCCATAGGAACCTTAATCTACATTTCAATAAATACAAAAGGCGTTAGGACATGGTTTTGACGAATTCATATTTTAATTGCGGGATGGTTTTTAGTTGTAGAGATTTCTAACATTTTTTATGTGAAAGCCCGTGTCTCAAACTATAGGTTAACATGTCTGGCTTCCGGTTTTGTGTACTATGCGAAATGAGGGAAGGTCAAATATAGAGAGGTGTCCTTTTTTAGTTTTCCAAACCAGTGTTCTTACAAAATGGCGTTGAACAAAAGATTTTTTTCTTAGGTCCTGAAGCAAAAATCGTCTTTGCGAGTATTATCAAGAGACTTAGCATACTTTTCACTATATAAAACCATTTTTGTCTCATGCTTATCTTTTAAGTCACTTTTGTAGTCTAGCTTCATACTTGTCCTAATGGAATGCTCTCGTTAACGCAACTCCTCGACTTTTAAGGCCCCCACATTTTAGGACTTTGATTCTAAAAATCCCTAACGTTGTTTTTATCCAAGGTACATATAGTATATTGCACTGTAAATATTTTTGATTAAATTTTGATAAGTGGTTACACCCCACGAAATGAGTTTTCATCAAACCCAATAAAATTTTTGGAAAAGTTTCCGTCGTCATCAAGGTTGAACTTCAAAAATAATTTAACTAACCAAAACTTGGTAATTTTATTATTTTGTCACTTGTACCTTGTAAGTAAAATAGTTCTGTAGCAGGGGACACAAAAACGTTATTAAAATTTATTTTCAACAAAATTTGACCATTAATTTTCCAAATTAGTTTACGAGTTTTTTATGATTCCCCGTCAGCTGATTAGCTTGGGTCCTTCTCCAAGACTGTTTACTCAAAATCTTAACTATTTTGTTTAATATTACTCAGGACACTTCCAGCTTTACCCTCGGCATGCATTTAAAGCCTCTCCAATTAAATGGGAAGTACCCTCCAAATATTTCAGAAGTACCCTTCATGGATATCTACCTCTTAAAGTTATTTTTGAATTAGGATTTTGGTGGCAAACTACCTCTTAAAATAGTGTACATATCTACAAGCCATACTTTTAGCATTTTATATAAAAATCGTATCATTTATACACAATTAAAGTTAATGCTTCCATAAAAGCATGCAAACCACATGGTAATCAAAGCTGTTGTGGACTTAACAGGTCCTCCACGCTTCCGCTTGGTACAGGTTTTGGGTTCAGGACAACATCGAAAAATTATTTTATAATTGTCAGATGAAGTTAATGTTATAAATATGTAAGTTGGATCGTTTTAAGGAACTTGAGATACAACGACTTCGTGTAATGTAAAAAGTATAAGTGTAATTTATTCATTGTTTCGATTTTGCTTTTATACATAATGGATTGGTCAAGCATTGACCTTTTAACTAATCAGGAAATCCTGGAAAATATCTCAAGAAGCGAGAGACAAAGAAAGACAAAGAGTTAACAAAGACTTCAAAAAGTTCAAAAACATCAAATTATTGTCTCAAAAAACTATTCGTCATTCTTAATCTAAATGAGTCATACGTAAAACTTACACACAAAGGAATGAATCATTAACTGTTTCAAATCTATTTTTAACAGTTCATCTTTTCAAATATACAGTACCAGTTCGTAAAGAAACTGGTGCACGGGCATGTCGATTTTTTCACATCAGCACAGTAAAATCGAACTAACTATAGGGTTGCAATTTCCAGAAATTGTCTTTAAAAGGTGAAATTCGGCGCAGTGAAATTAGCGATTAATAATTAATCCACTGAGAATAAAATGTAAGCAAATTGCTACTGGGCGGTGTCTATATGTGACCAGAGGTCGACGCCGCCGATCTCACGCCGCCGCGCCGCCATACGCCGATGAATTTTACGCGCCGCCGCCGCCGAAAAATTCAATTTCCTATACCTTTAACATTGCGACGCCGCGCCGGGCCGCCAACGCCGCCGAAAAATCACCAAAAACTGGCGCCGCCGCCGCCGAAAAATTGTCGGCGTCGACCTCTGTATGTGACCTCACCGGTTTGGTAGCAAATTCCGTAGCAAATCGCTACCAAACCGGTGAGGAATTTGAAATAGTAAAGCTATTTTTGACATTTTTGCAGTCAAATAAACTAATTTTTAAGCAATGTAATTAAAAAAAATGTTTTTCATAAATACATCTTTTGGGGATTAAACATTTTACATAAAGATTTAGGGTTTTTAAGAACATATTCAATATAGTAAGACCCATCACTGATAAGAAATTTACACAGATTTATGACGTGCAAAAGGAGAGGCTACTTCCATTTAACGGGAGGGAAAATTTAGAGCATTAAGAGGTTGCTTTCCATTTAGGTAACTTCTTACATATTCGGAGGGTAATTCCCATTGTTTTGGAGAGCCATTAAATTACTTCCTTTACCCTCAATCTTCATTTGACCCAGTGGGTCTGCATTCAAGGTAAGCAGGTCAATTTTCCCGTGCACGGTCCGATTTATCACTTTTCATGGAAAAATTTCGTTGACAATGGAAGGCCAACGTTATGTAATTCATTGTGGATTCTTTTATTATTACATGCAATGATTATCTAGGGTTATAATATTAAGAATAATTCACCTCTGACCTCTTAGGTTATTATGCTATACGAGTACTTAAGTTTGGAAAGTGTTTTTACGGCACCCTCCAACTCTGAGGACACTGGAGGTGTCATTTTTGAAGCTATCACCTTAAAATTTTGGAAATACCTTTTTGAGAGTATTATCTTGCAGTCTACCAAAAATCACTTCAAAATTCTACTCCCTGCCAGAGATATTCACCCGCGAATTCGTCAAAACCATCACCTAACGCCTTTTGTACCTTGCACGTTGACATCTCCCTCCTTGATATCTGGGAAATTGTGATCCGTGATATCAATAAAGTTTTGATGCTTCATAATCAGGGCCCAAATTTCGTCCTCGTCCATCCACTGACCGGGCTCCTCGAAGCTCGTTTTAATGAGACGCTTCCCAGCTTTGATTTCTTCATCTCCGAAGGGGCATGAAGCTACCAAAGCCACGCCCAAGGAAACAACTAGGACTAACTTCATTTTAATGAAATTGCAGTGAAACTTATCAACGGATGAGGCAAAACTGACCAGGGAAAGTTTCGAGCTTTGTTTTATAAGGCGTGAAATATCTGGGGAAATTATGACGATACAAATGTCAAGTGGTTCAAATTGTTGATAAGATTTATGCATATGGATTCCCCCCTTAATGAAGTACTGGTCAAGGTACTTTCTAACTTATGGATGTATTAGCACATGTAGGATTAGCAACTGATGCAAATATGTAAACGCAATATTTTGTTGTGTTAAAGGATACCGGAATTTCAAAAAGTTTGGATGCATATGTAATTGAAAAAGATAAGATGAGATAAGCTTTCGAATATTCCAAAGTATGGAAAGTTCTATGTTGTGACTGGAATTTCCTATATATAGAAAATTCCCATTTGTGGGTTTTATGTAAGATGCTCCAATATGTACGTTGTTTTTACGATAGAGCGTAATTTGTAATTTGGTAAGTCCAATTAAGAAATCTGACAGTTCAGATAATTGATGAAATGACTGGACAATACATTATAATATTTGGGGATTGATCGAGCTGTTGTTGGGTTGACGATATTGGCAATTTTGCACACGGAACTAACAAGTAAATGGGATTACAGATATTCGCGTTTCGCATGGCCTGATATATTTAAATAAAAACAAAAACTTTCCATATTGCCTAAATCCATACGTCAGTTCAAAGTCATTGCCATGTCACATAAGGCCATACTGTTCAACTTACATACATATTAATACTGATTGATTTGTTGCGATACGCAGAGAACAATTAGAAACCCCCAACACACGTAATACGTGGTTTTCCTTTTTAGCCGAGTAAGGGCAATAACATCAATGGAAGGTCTCTAAAATTGTGTCTACCAAGCACTAACAACCTTTACTATTTCTTTTAAATTTCGTATCTTATTTATTGTTACGTAACCGAATTCATTTACATACATATGCATAAAATTGTGAATAAGCATATTCCTTAAAACAACCCATATTTTTTAATGCCCAATAAATAAATGATGCGGATGAATGTGTAATTCCATAAATAAGTAATACCAGTATGTGCATATATGTATGTACAAACACATGAATTCACTCATCATATCGCCATGTTTTCCCTTTGCCCTCGATAAAGTAGTTGTGCTCCATGGCTCAGTGACCAGCGGTCCCCTCGGTGGTCCGTACTTTTCTAAACACTCAGATCTCAGGAAACTTGCCTCCATCCCCAGGCCTCCGAGTCCCCATTGTAAAATTCGATAATAACCCATGGAAATATCAAGTTATCCTTAGGATTGATCCTAATTTAATTAGTCAACAGTCGAGCATCACATACGTATAAGTGTATGATCCAAATGAAGCGATCACTCCTCCGCACTCATTTTTCTTTTCTAGTTTTATAGACCATTTAGAGGTATTGGGCGTAGTTATTTTGCATACCTGACATCGTTAATCAGAACTTCCTCCTTGGACAGCACAAAAGTGCTTACATGAACTATTAGCGACCTGGTAGGACAGATAAATTTATTGGCAATGGTGGTTTTAATGCTAAAGATTATACCAACATACTGTAAAGGTTATCTATAATTTGTATGAACTACCTATTTCTAAAGGCTTGTCCATAACAAGAAACTACGTCACACCGGGTACAGTGAAATAAATTGCAAGAAGTCGATGCTTAATAATATTCAGTTGATATCTAACAAGAAAAAAATCTAAATTTGTCATCTGGTTACATCAAATATATATAATTGCATACGTATGTACACATATGTATTTATCAACGCACTTCTACTCACCATAACCTACAATAACTGCATATGTGCATATATACATTCCTTATTGTGTGTATTGGTATCATGCAACTCGTTTTCATATATTTACAAACATATGTATGTATGTATGTATGTAATTATGTAAATAATACTGGTTTTTTACTATGTAAAGATGCCGCTAGAAGCAATAATATTTCTCAGTTAGTTCAGATGATATCAAGGAAATTAGTGTTTTTGAAGTAGAGAAATCTGCTCTTAAAGGTTTTTAATTAATAGAGTAGGATGCCTGCAATTATTTTGGCATTATGCACATAATAGAAGCAAAACAGTGTTTATCGTTATCATCACAAAAACCTGGATAACTTTATTGCATTGTTTGTCTGAGTAAACACACATGTAGAAACTTGTGCACATAAAATAAGTATGTATGCATACATATGTACATACATACGTGCTTGTATACATATTTAGATTGCATGCGTTTAGATACATAGTAAAAAGGCATATACAATAAAGTGATGGGAAGGTCACAAAATGTGCCGGTACTAAATACATGAATGGAATCATAGTATGGATTTTTTCTTCAGAATTTGCTCAAATTAAGCAATTACTTAATTTTATAACTATGTATTTAATTGTACCAAAAACGTTAGTTAGATAAAAGTATGAATCTTATAAATAGTCAGTATCTTTCAACAGAAATACATACTTATTTAGATACTTGCCAGATTACGTCAGCAATGCATACTTATGTATATGTGTGCATATGTATGTATTGCATATGTTTGTATGTACGAACACATTTATAAACATGTATGTATGTATATGCACACATATTTATGTATGTACACACACCGAATTACATGTACATATACAAAATTCACAAATTATGAACTTTTATCAAGATAGCATAGTTGAAAATTTGGGCAATATTATACACAAAATGTTGACGAAATTAAATTTACTTTTCGTTCTAAAATCTGTTCGAAAATCAGGGAAGTCGGATTTCATGCAACAAGATTAAGGAAATTGAGTGTATTTAATTATGTAGTACACATTTATTTATTTTGCCGGAAAACCGAACGAAGGTTGTCCAATTATTTCCTCTCGTGTAAATATATTTAAATCTAGCCCATCTTCATTAATTAGGACCTACATATATATCAAACGTACATAAAGTTCGCGATCTATTAGTTTCCCTAACCCCTGAGGTTGTACATACATAAAGAAATTCTACGCATAACTACCATTAGATGCTCGACTTGTAACCCATTTACTCAAACACATCCCTTATGCACGGCACCTTGACTTAAACACTCTCCTGAAATCAGTAGGTATGTAATTAAAGATTTCCACTTATTCTGGAAAAGTTTACGTACATATGTACCTGGATTACCAATAATTAAACTGAAGTTTCCCATAGTAACGATTACATAAATGTGATGTACCAATCCACCATGAGGAAATTGGCAGCAAAAAGCGGATTCTGATCTACGTACTGGTTAACCCAAGACACGCATATATGTAAACATCCACATGTTGATGTAATCAAGTAAGTACTTAAAATGGGAATCCAGGTAAATAAAAGAGCACATGTTCATATAAGTACATAGATGACCAACTGGCTCAAATTCATGCAGGTACGTAAGACACACAAAACGTCCACATGCTGACTTAGTTCTCATGAAAGTTATCCAGGATCAACAAAAATGCCAAAGTTAGTAAACTGGTTTTTACGCGACATGTTCATCCATGTATTCAATAATTATTATCATTTGAACGCTTAGACGAGTAGGTCTAGTCCAGTACACGGTCCAGCTGTTGGGACACTTTGTAAAATCTGACTCTAAAATTTTAAAACTTTTTAGAATTTTATTTAAATTTTTTTAAAAATGAATCGGGGTGGATTTTCTCTTTTCAAAATATTTATTATTTTAATAATTAACCAAGTTGTGGAGGCAGGAATCATACCAGAACCGAACGGACCATTTTATGGGTTACCATTTGAAGGGAAATCTGGATGGAGATATCTTCTTCCCTTCACAAAAATGGGGACTTGTGAGGTATGAAAATATTCACAGATTAATAAATTTGTTACAGTAAGCAACAAAGTGAAGCCTAAAAATTCATGTAAAATTTTTCATTCAACGTTAATACATTCCACGACTACATGAGGCTTTTATGTTGAACATTTTCTCACAGAAATTCACATTAACAAGATTTTATTACTTTTTGACCATTGTTTCGTACCAAGTTACACATATTTGTTCAACGATTCTTTGGCTACCAGTGCTTTTTGGGAAATTTTATGTACGTTCTCGCAGGCATTTTACAACTTGATAAATTTCCATTGGCAACGATATTTTTTAAATTCTCGATGTCTCCAATGGTACACATTTGTTTAAATGGTACGCAATTTAAAGCGATCTCGCATGTAATTTGTGACCATAAAAAATAATTTGTTACACTAATTTTGCTAGCTGATAGGCAGAGTAAAACACATTGGAAAAAATAGCTTGATAGTCAAGTGATAAAAAATGTGAAACTTGGTATGAAACGGAATACTTCCTAAAATTAATGCATGTAATTAGTGTGACCATTATTTCTTTCATTAACAATTCAATATTTTGCTTTCCTCCAGGCAAATAAAACGTACACGATAACATCCATAAACGACTTTTACGACCACACCACCCAACTCGAGTGCATCTACGCGGGGTCACGAATCCCCACCAAAATCCCGGTAGGACCCATGCACGCCACAATTATCACGGTGTTGAATAGCCTGATTTTCAACCCCTTCATTGAGCCCATCTGGGACGGGAAATACATTAAAGAGACGATTTGCAACGGGACAAAAATCTTTGTCGGGTTTAACGCATTTCCCACCGGACCGAGTATGCCGTTTATCCCGAAAATTCGGAAACACGGGCTCAACCTGGCTCCGGCAGAGTGGGACGATGGAAAGGGCGGATTAGTCGTGGAATATAGCAACGATGTCATGGAGATATGCCCGGAAGTGAGGTATGTACATATGTTCATCCGGTGGAATATAAGCAAGATTGATAAATTAAGATAATCATATATATATACGATTTTAATTATTATCAACTTTTTCCAAATTTTTACTTGTAACAAATTAGAAAAATTCTAACCACACATTTCCTGTAACAAAGTAGAGCATCCAAATTTATTTCACACTTCATGTGCGAACAGGTTTAAACTCACATGCATACCCAGAGACAATTCACACAGTTCTTGGCAACATTGTAAACTTCGTAAATTCCTTAAAGTTGCAAACCTTTGTACAAAATTCTTGAAATATTTCTGAGGAAAACAGGTTACAATTTTATAAAAGTTTGTAAAATTATATTACAAAATTTACTGATTTGGAAAGTTACCAATGCATGCGTGAATTGCCTCATAGCACGCCTCATAGCAATTTGTTTACTCGTAATCTAAATTTCTTTTTATGTTTGCAAAATGCTTGCTGAATGCGGGCGGGGTTATGTAAATTGTAATTAATTAACCATCTTCATAATATTTTGAAGGGACGATGTCCTATCCAAAGGAGGAAAAGGTGCTCCAAGTGCACACAACATATGGAGCAAAGGGATCCCGTTCATGGATGTGATACGATTCGTAGGCAGGCAGACGGACGGGGGAAACATCTACTTGTTAAAGACATATTTGAGAGATGCGTTTCGATCCGACAAGATGGCCGTGACAACCGCTTTCACCGCCATTTTAAACTATGACGAAACAGCGGAACCAACAATATGCTCAGGAGTAGCTACGATACCTTTGGTAAGAAAATGCACTCTGGTACATAAGTAGAAATCTTGTATAGTCAGAAAGGTATGTAGTAAACCTACTCCCGCTTGGTATTAAAATTATACCAGTCCGTAACAACTTTGTATCGATATGCTAAAACTTTAATACCGAGCTATTACTACAGCGTATTACGTATCAAAACCACTTTGGCAGAATTATATATGAATACCGCTTGGTATTATTTTAACACTGGATTTCTATGAACGTATCTGTCACCGGGTAAATATAGTTAATTTAGTTTTCCTCATTTCCAAACTTACCCAAAAACGAGACGTCCTTCATACATTTGGAATATATTTGTAACCTGATTTCCTTCATTATATTGCTTTACAGAAATTTCAGGATTTTTGAAAATCATTGCAGTCAAGTTAAATTAATTTTCCTGTTTAATTTTAACAGGAAAAAGGATTCACGTACACATTTCCTGGACTGATGGACGCCATCATTCGGGGACTACCATTCGATAATTTCCTCTTCGCAGAGTCGCGACGTCAAACTTTAAGACAAGTGTACCGCGAGGGAAGTGCGATGAGGAGAAATATTTGGAGGTTCCTGCAAGGTACATGCATTCTTATGACTCATTACTTAATATTTGGCAAAATATGTACATATGTATGCAAATATGTAAAATGTATTCTTTTCTGTAAATCAGATCTACCCGGAAGTACTATGAAAATATTACAGTTTGGCATAAAATGGGCAGCGGAGTATGACGCCGATAAACGAAGAACGTCTCCGTGGACGAAACCTGACGGGTGTTAAAGTTCCTAAGGATTTAATTCTAATTTAATGTGATAATTATCTAATAAAATGCGCCGTGAGAAGTTGTCGCACTCTTATAAATCCTGTCTTACTCGAAATATGTAATACCAGGCGATATTCATATACAGATATGTATGTACACCCTTAATAACCAGGTATTAATAATCGTCACCGAGTTGCCAGGGGAGGGAAATAGTTTACCAAAATAGTGAGGTACAGTATAGGCGGAAAGTCTTTCCACCCTCATAATTTTTTTCACTTCAAGCGTTATATTTCTCGAGAAGCTTGAGGAAATAAACTGCAATTTTGCACAATTACATATCATGATGCAAGGATTTCTCAACCATGCTTTGGATAACGGCGTGGCACAGGCAACTACAGGGTGAAATTATAGACAAAATTCCGACTGGAAAAAAGTCTTTCCACCCAGACAAAAGTTTAATGCAACATTCATTTTAAATTTTTGTTTGTTATGTAATAGTCAAAATAGCATTTGGAATGTTCACCCAGGTCCTCTAGGAAGGCAATAACGCCTCTTGGCATCAACACAAAAACTAAGATTGTGTATGAGGTGTCTAAATTCCCCAATTCAAATTTAATGGCGTCCCCAGTTCATTCGGGTTTAATAGTTTTTGCTACGAAATTTTTAGCTTCACAATTGACAACAAATATTCATTAACATTCCTTCCGGTGATTTTAGAGTAAAATGCAACAATTAAATCTCGTTTGTTGAGAATTTACTCCTCAAAAACTTTGATCTATACTTAAATTCACCATTCTGTTTGAAAATAAAATTGTCACCACACGGTAATTTCTCGCGTCAACATCAAATTCGAATCCCTAATGTTGCAACAGTAGTTGGGGTCCATGATTCCTTTGATTATCTCAAAATTTCCGACACCCTTCCACGACATACACGCCCATAACTTTCGGTTTCCACCCCCATGCTTAATGATTTAATTACGGTACTTATATTTGTCTGTATCTCCTGGTCATCTCCTTATCCGAGTGACCCGATCTGAACCATACAAGTTGGTCTTGGTCTAGTCGCTCCAGATTATACATTTCAAGTCTTGAATGTATCGATTTCGATACTTTTTAGCCAATTTCATAACCTTGGTCATATTGGCCTAGGAAATAAATGTTTTTTTCCGCACTGCTGGGTCTTTAAATCCAACTTATTCTACCCAATTCTTTACAGTTCGCACAGAAATTTGAAGGTCGTAGTCTTCCTTCGTTTCCAGTCAGTTTTTGTCGCTGTAACCGAGGGTTTAGCTGAATTGAGGAGAGAATGGCGTGATCGATCCTTGGGGCCGTAATGCTTGGCGGTCCATAAGCTAGGAATTTCGCCGCCGTACCAATTTTTTTGTACTTTTGGACTATTCTGCCAACTATGTACTTCTTTACGAGTAGTTTATCATAAATTGTTTGGTATCAAAACCCTTCCTCACGAAATTTTACGACGTCTTGCCCAAGATCTGTGACAAGGCGATTTCCTCTCATTATGAGCTAATATTGGTAACAAGCAATAAGTTGAGCATTATAAAAACGTTATTTTTCAAAGAATGATATATCCCCTGGTGGGTGGAGAACAATTTTCAAGAATGTTTTTAAGAATTACACAAAAAGGACGAAAATGTCAACAGGTGGAAAGACTTTTTTCCGGTCGGAATTTTGTATGTAATTTCACCCTGTCGTTTCCTGTGCCACGCCGTTATCCAAAGTATGGTTCCGAAAACCTTGGATCATGATAAGTAATTGTGCAAAATTGTAGTTTACTTCGTCAAGCTTCTCGAGAAATATAATGCTTGAAGTGAAAAAATTATGAGGGTGGAAAGACTTTCCGCCTATACTGTAATTAATAACCTATAAATTTATAAATTTTAAAAATAGGTATGTGGTCTGAAATGTATTTATAAGCTGGTTGATCAACAAATTAAGTCAACATTTATGTCAAATATGATATGGTTACATGAATAATTCCAGCCAAAAGTTAAAGGTCAGGTTAGGCTATGTTCTTAATCAAAGATTTGATTTAATTTGATTTAAACCTTTATTCACGTGTTAATAGTTATCAGTTTACAAAACTGGTTTAAAAACTATGACACAAGTAGATAAAACTATATATTTAACCTAAAAATATCTAATGGACTCAATAACAATATTGGTCGTCACGTGCATTAATGATGTGTTCACGGACGGCTTGTACATATTTGTTGTAACTCAAGTTTGGGTCCCAATCGCGTGGGAGTTTGTTCCATAACTTGGTTGCGCGATAATTTATGGACTTTTGAGCAAATTTACATGATGTTACAGTTAAGAGTGGCCAAGAACGTCTAATTGCGGAAGAACTTATTTGGTCTTGAAGGTGTTTAAAAGCGTACTTATACAGAAATAAATCACGACGCTCGCGTATTGTCAAGAGGTTACACTTACTTAACAAATCATTTACCTTTATCGCTTGCTTATTAATTTTAAAGCGTGAATGTTTCTTATGTCGAAATTTTTTTGCAAGGGAGGGAAACATGAATTTGACAAGGAAGGAATTGACTTTATGTTGTATTGAATCGAGTTGAGCATCAGTCTGAATGGCCCAGATATCAATACAAAAGTCCATAATCGAGTGAATATGGCTGTTAATCATAATGGCCATGACTTTATCGGTCAGGTGCCGCTTTAAACCGTGTAGATAACCTAAACTATGGGAAACTTTCTTAGTAACAGCAGTAAAATGATACTGCTGTTACGAAAGTTAAGGTTAGAGTCTAACATTACACCAAGGTATTTGAATGTATGTACATGTTCTATAGATTGACCGTTATTTAACAGAATTGGGGAGGTGAACTCAGGAGGGATTACACAGTTGGGTTTACAAAATATTTGGAACTTAGTTTTGGTATAATTAATTGATAGGTTGTTGTCATCATACCACCTTTGCACCGCATTAGCCTGGTCAATAATGATTTTCATCATAACGTCTAAATCTTGACCAGCGATGTAAATTACCAGATCATCAACATATAGTAAGAACGGAATGGTGATGATCTTATTTATGTCGTCCTGATAGGCTGAGTAGTACAATCCACTACCCGCGGCCCCTTGAACTACACCCGTTGGATTATTAAAATATTGATTGTCATCCTTAAATTTAAAGCATCTATTATTCATGTAGTTATACAAGGTACTAATATATGTAGGGTTTAGTTTAAACTGAGACATTAATTTCTTAATCAGCAATGACCTATCTAGGCTATCGAAAGCAGAACGGGCATCATAATAAATCGCAATACATTTACCATTCTTAACATCGAGTGCTGAGTATATATAATTAGTAAATTCCGACAGAGCAGTTTGGCAAGAGTGTTTTTTTCTACACCCATGCTGTTGCTTGCAAAGTTTTGAGTCAATTCTAATACATAAACGTGTATATAATAATCGTTCAAAGATTTTACAATATACATTTATCATTGATATGGGCCGGAAACTAGAGGGAGAAAGTTTTTTCCCCTTACCTTTGTAGATTGGTACACTAATGGTGGAACGGAAAGCTTGAGGTACGGTACATAGATTAAGGATCATCTATATTATAATTTCGAAAAGTCCGTCCCGTGAAATTTTCCGTGACATTCCTGCATTCTGATTGGTTGCCGGCTTCCTGGCTCCACCAATCACAGCACAGATAAGATTTCTGATTTCGGTTTAGATTTCGGTTATGGTTACGGTTATGATTTCGGTTATGATTACGGTTATGATTTAGGTTATGATTTTGGTTATGATTTCTGTTATGATTTCGGTTATGATTACGGTTATGATTTAGGTTATGATTTCGGTTATGATTTAGGTTATGATTTAGGTTATGATTTAGGTTATGATTTAGGTTATGATTTCGGTTATGATTTCGGTTATGGTTACGGTTATGATTTCGGTTATCATTTCGGTTATGGTTACGGTTATGATTTCGGTTATGATTTTGGTTATGACTTCGGTTATGATTTCGGTTATGGTTACGGTTATGATTTCGGTTATGATTTCGGTAATGATTTCGGTAATGATTTCGGTTATGATTCCGGTTATGATTTAGGTTATGATTTAGGTTATGATTTAGGTTATGATTTCGGTTATGATTTCGGTTATGATTTTGGTTATGACTTCGGTTATGATTTCGGTTATGGTTACGGTTATGATTTCGGTTATGATTTCGGTTATGATTTCGGTAATGATTTCGGTAATGATTTCGGTTATGATTCCGGTTATGATTTAGGTTATGATTTCGGTTATGATTTCGGTTATCATTTTGGTTATCATTTCGGTTATGATTACGGTTATGATTTCGGTTATCGTTTCGGTTATGATTACGGTTATGATTTCGGTTATGATTTATGTTATGATTTCGGTTATGATTTCTGTTATGATTTCGGTTATGATTTCGGTTATGATTTCGGTTATGATTTCGGTTATGATTCCGGTTATGATTTAGGTTATGATTTCGGCTATGATTTCGGTTATCATTTTGGTTATCATTTCGGTTATGATTTCGGTTATCGTTTCGGTTATGATTACGGTTATGATTTCGGTTATCGTTTCGGTTATGATTACGGTTATGATTTCGGTTATGATTTCTGTTATGATTTCTGTTATGACGTAACGTTAAAAAATTTCCTTCGTAACGTTAAAAAATTTTCTTAGCAACGTTAAAAAATTCTTTAGCAACGTTAAAAAACTTTCTTATGAACGTTAAAAAATTATCTTAGCAACGTTAAAATAAATCCTTACCAACGTTAAAAAAAATCTTTGGCAACGTTAAATAATTCCTTACAAAGCCGGCAACCATTCATAACGCAGGAATGTCGTGGAAAGCTTAATAGGCCAGGCTTTTCGAAGTTTAAGCATATTTAGATGATTTTTTTCTTTCGTGTTATAATTTCGGTATGGATTAGTGCATCACACCAGTTATGTAATGCCTCCACATAATGGTTTTGGTGGGTTCTAAAACTTTAGTTCTGGGCCGTCTTTAAGACGGGCTTTTAGGCTAGTATTAAATAAAACCATTAATTGTAACGCTACTGTTTGCTTACATCGTT